AGGTCTATTAAAGCATGTTTATACATGATCTATTGTTTTGTCTTTGTTTTACAGGATGATTAAACAGATGAAAGGAATTTGCAGGAAATTTTTTGGGGGATAATAATCATTTATTTCATTAAAATTTTAGTTGACATAGTTATACTGAATAGCTATATTAATGTGAAGTTAGTTTATACCTGATTGAAAATAATCCCGGGTGGTGCAAATAATGACGAATGATTAGAAGTCTCTCTGTAGAATAGAATTTTCGCTTTCATATAACAACAAACTTTGTTTAGATTTAGAAAAATTTCCAGTAAAATTCATATATATTCACCAGCCTCGGTATTTTTTAAATTTTATGAAAATTTCACAACCATATTCTTAAACCGGTTTTCCACTAGCGATATTTTTTGCGCGAATCGATATTTTACTTTTGTTCCAGAGCTCTTAACCGCACCCATCTGGAACAAATTGCTCAAATACAAAGGAGTAAACTCGCTTCGCGCAAAAAATATCGCTAGTGGAAAACCGGCTCTAGGGCTCTAGGGGATGTTTACCACTTTACCTCAGCTGGGCTAGGCGTGATTCAACGAAGGATGAGATGATCTTCGGGTATGAATCAGGTGATCTGAAAGGCCTACGACTGGACAGTCGGAAAGGACTAGACTTGTTGTAAAACATTAAAATATCGCAGATTGATAATGCTAAGGATCTACATAAGATTGTTAAAACCAGTTCACCAAACTAGAAACGATGCGTAAAAAGTTAACTTGTACTTATACGCTTTGCTTAAAAGACAGGATGATCACAAGAAATGTAGTCCAGTTCTGCGGCCCGTAGTAGCAAGGAAACTGTATACAGTGTGAAACTGTACTTACTCCTCTTTCCCATGTAGCATTGAAAGCTCAACAAAGAGGGAACAATAGACTATTTATTTTTTGCGAACATCTGCGAAAATCTTTTCCTGCCGTTTTAATGACCGAAATTTTTTCTGCTGACAGCGTCAATAGACGTACGCTTTCGGGTTTTTTTATAGTATATAATTATCTTGGTAGCGTTGCTACTAACAACACTGACCTTAGAGTTGTGCAAATGAAAATTGGTGATACCGGGGAAGGTGATGTCTTATATACTTATATATCAAATAAAGACTGTTAAAATTGGGGTTGTAAATTGCACGAGTCTCAGTTAATTGCTGTTAATTTTCTAGGTCGAAGCGTCGTCGAGAGTTTTCTGATCTATTGTAGTCAATAGTTACTGTAAACAACATGGAAGTTACACCAATACATGTATAGAATCTTTATGCATAAGAACTTTGCAGAAAAGCAATGGAATGCTGTGCTATGCTAGCGAAAACCAAATTTTATATCAATATACAATAACCTTTCATGATATTCGAAGCGTGCATTCCGACACCGTTTCAGTTGAATCCAGAGAGAGAGGTAGTAAACGAAGTATTTATGAAAACTCCGTCTACAAACGCGTGCACAAATTAATACTGATTTATAAATAGACTCGATATTAAAGACATGGAATCAAGCGTGGATTTTATATAGACAGCTAATAACGCCTACTATAAAAAACTACCTTTACTCCACGTCTATGATCTGATTCACAATAAGAATGAAAAGTATGAAACGTAACAATTGAGATTACTAGAGTATAAAAAAAGAAAAAGAAAAAGAAAAGTTTTAAGTTATCAATATTCAATTTTTTTATACAAAACTAGAATCGCTTATTTAGCTGCTTATGTAAATCGCATCTTTCCGTTCACTGCAAGTAGAGAGATGATCAGGGAGGCTACATATATGCTCACAATTTACCCAGATCGGATCGAGCGTCCAGAAGCATGTGATCAATTATTGACAATTAATGGAATTAACAGCCATATAAAAATAAAGTTTGAGGATTTTGCATCAATGTAATTATATCAGCAATGTGAACCAGCTGATACAGCTCTCTATTCTTTATAACCTCACTTTTAATAGATATATGCATGGGATATTTTAAAGTGCACCAATTAACAGAAGTTTCTTAAACTTTATAGTTTTTCATTTAACGCGATGCCGGAATTTATCTTAAATACAGAAAGATAATGAAATACTGTGTCCATGCGTGGCTTGCTGGTCTGGAGGTATGATTTTCGCATCGGGTGCGAAAAGTCACGGGTTCGATTCCCGTGCATTCCTTGTTGTCCCCTTCCGCTTCAATAGGTTTTGGGTTCTAAATATTATACTGTCGAACATTTTTTGCCCTCTCTCACGCAACTTAATGGAATTAACAGCAATATAAAAATATAGTTTGAGGATTTTGCATCAATGTAATTATATCTAGTTCGAATCTCTGAAGCGGCTCTTGACAATTTTGCACTTAACTTAAACCAGGATCTAGTGTATAATAAACTTTCTTCTGCAGCTAGCTAAGCTCATTTCATTTAAATTCTAATTTGAAAGCAAGAAAAAGCATTAAATACCTTAGAGATTATTTCAAATAACAACTTAACGTCGATAATGAAGGAATCTGAGCATTTCCTACTAAAATATGATAAACTGATCTTCCACCTGTGCCCAAGACTTAATAACCAGGTAAGTTCCAATACGAATGCCAAAGAAGCCACCCATCAGGTAAATATGTAGTCGTGGCTGAGTGGTTAAGGCGACAGACTAGAAATCTGTTGGGATATTCCCGCGCAGGTTCAAATCCTGCCGACTACGAATTTTGGGTTCCCCCAATATTTCATAACACTCAGAAGTTATTTTGCGTGTAAATGACTGAGTTTTGATAACGACTTTCGTTGCAGTGAACTGTGTGAATGGTTTCACAGGTGGAAAAGAGGTGGAATTTGGTTTGAAACTAATAGACATATTTGTTTGCGTTTTTTCCTGCAGGCACAGCAAATCAAACGAATTGATCTAAATTTTAAATACTTCATGTACAGAATTTTTAATATTTTATCCTTTTTACCTGAAGTAGCATAAATTTACGCATTTTGATCCCGTTACCGAATATTTAAAGAAACCTGCTGATTGGTCTTCAACGAAATCCCCCATTGTTACAGGGACCTCTATGTAGGATCTCTATTCTTTATAACCTCACTTTTAATAGATATATGGGATATCTTGTAGTGCACCAATTAACAGAAGTTTCTTAAACTTTAGGTTTTTCATTTAACGCGATCCGGGAATTTATTTTAAATACAGAAAGATAATGAAATGCTTTGTCCATGCGTGGCCCCCACTGGAATTATGACGTCACATGAAACAAAATATAGCGAAAACCAATTTCATATCAATATACAAACACCTTTTATGATATCCGAAACTTACATCTAAATTTAAATCTAGATCACGGGCATTCCATATTTTTAATATTGTAGCTAAGAAGGAACCTTAAACTCATGTTAGACAAGAAACACGAACAGAGTCGATATTAACGACATCGCGGAATAACGTGGCTTTATAAAATAATGCTGAAAAGTGAAAAATCGTACTACAATCTACAAACAACCTTTATTGCCCTACGATCAGGGGTGGTGTAGCAGCTCCAACAAGGTCTCTCCTGATTGGATAACTAGGTTATTGCTAATATTTTAAATATAATTAACTGACATATCGATTGCATACGTACATAAACTTCATTTCTAAGATCAGTAATATCTCGCTCATATTCATACCACGCTATATTATTTCAAACATATTCTTCAAAATGACATGCAGTATTTCTGCTCCCTTGAATGAAAATTTACATATCATATTAAAAACGCCAACGATGACGAATGAAATGATAATTTTTATTAGTAATATTAAGCCGGGGGTTTCTTCGAAGTTTATTGGTTCGCTGCCTTTGCTACCCTGGTTAGAGTCTGAGCCAATAGGAACAACCTTATTGAAGCTGCTACGTACACTACCGACGATCAAATCATACAATAACAATGCACAATTTGCGTTTCTATTGAGAGTGTAAACGAATAAAAATGAAAAGTGGTATACGATAGCGATATTTAAAATATAAAACCAAAAGTGCTTTTCAGCTGCTATTGCATGTAAATCGCATACATGGGGAGAAAGATATATTCCCCATTTTACTCCTAGATTGAAGCGTCCAGAAGATATGTGTGCCCATATTTCCTTTCGTCCAAAGATGTCTGTCTGCATAGTCTGAGTGCGACACTCAATGCTGAAGAGTAACTTTCCTGTTGTTTTGCAGCTATAAACACTTTTAAGCTATTTTATTATACACCCTGCTTAAAATTTTAGTATACACACAACCTATAAAAAAATTTTGCTACAATTTTCCTTAACTTTTTGGTGAGCCAGAGAGACCGAGTAATAACCATTTCTTCTTCATACGTGTTCTCCGCCTATCATTACTAAGTTCCAACTCTATCTCCGGGCATCATCATAACAACTCAACTATAGATAGCACTGAGAAGGTCGGTGTCCGCTTAGCAGCAACTAATAAGGTTCAAATAAAAGTGAGATGAGAGTGAGTGCGCAATGCCTGTAGCCCAGCTGGGTTTATAATGGCGCAAACTTATCGTGATATTGTTTTTCATTGAATCAAGTGGCTTTATAGACAGCTAATAAATAATGTTTACTGCCCTGTGATATGAAGAAGCACATGCAATAGGAATGTTTGGTTTGCGTAGCTATTGAGATCACTAGTGTATAAAAGAATAAAAATAAAGTGAAACGTTGTACGGTATCAATATTTTAAATATAAAAATAGCTAAAATCGTTAATTCAACTGCTTATGTAAATCACATATAGCATCATTCCTTTGTCTTTATAGGGAGGGTCAGGGAGGCTTGTATATGCTTAGTTTTTTCCAAGATTGGAGCGTCCAGTCCATTGTGGGCAATTTAGGAAACGGCTGTGATTTCCTACGTTTCCCTTCGTCTAATGACGTCTTTCATCATAAGTCTGAATGCGTTTGTCGACATGCTAAAGAGCAATCTTGTCAGATTGTTTAACGATGTGGAAAACGACAAGTCTACATGCAAGAGAACACATAAAACGCGATAGTTGCTGAGATCGCCTGCACATTGGTTTGGAGGCTTGGAGCTAAAGACGTTTTCAAGGTATGTTGTTGTACAACTTGTTTAAAATGTTACTATATACACTGTACATAGGGTGTAGTATTATTGAACATTGCCATTATTTTCCTATTATTAACATGAGCTAGAGAGACTGCGTGTGCTAACTATATATTTCTGCTCAGTGTTCTCTCATTACCTAAATTGCTAATTCTATCTCCGGGCATCATCATTAATATTTAGCTGTAAAACATTTGTAGCTAAACTACAGAAGCAGCAAAGATTACGTCATAACATGTAACTGATAAGATTGCAATGAAATAGGAGTCTCAAGACTTGTTTGGGCAGTGCCGGTACTTTAGCTGCACGGATCTATAATGGCGTAAACCGATCTAATATTATTTTTACAGTTTTAAAGAAACAATTTATGTCATGAAAACCTTTGCTATTCTCCTTCTGGCGTTGATCGTTGCCTTTGGTTGCTGCTTAGATGCATCGGGAAGACGGATGAAAAGAAATGAAAGAAGTAAGTTCAAATTAATTCAACAAATTTTGTTATGACTATCTTTATAGTCGCGAAATAATATCAAGCAAGGCATTGTATGATCTTTAAAACTAAACTTACATAAGCGACGAAATATACATATACCATCCTACATCAGCTAGAGCCATTATTTTATAAACAGATTGCTGGCGAGATTACAAATCGTCTCATCGTCACATAAAGATCCAAGGGCGGATACAGGGGTCGTCAAGCGGTCTCGCGACTGACGCAACATTTCGAAAAAGTGATAAAGATTCGACTTTCGAAATAGAGTCCAGTTATCTTTATCTCGCAGTGCATTTGAGAGCTATGTAGTTCCTGCTCCAGTTACTCCAAACCATTATCATGTACGCTATATACACCATTTGAAAATCTTATAATCTTAGTAGTCTAATCTAAGTCATAAAATATAGCTCAGTGAATGTAGTCAAGTCAAATCTTCCAGGGTTTACACAGTGCAGTGACTGACTTCTGGTTCGTGTTGAGCATTATTTCCATGGCAACTGATGAGTTGTCGCAATTTTGACCCATCTCAGAGGCGCAGAAATATATATATATATATACATATTTCAATATGACAACCTTTTTGATAACGACTGTATATATATATATATATATATATATATATATATATATATATATATATATATATATATATATATATATGATGATATTATATCCAATATAATATATTTCGTTGTCCGTACTTGAACAAAGAGTGCTCAATATCGAGGTGTGATAGAGCAATATATTTATATATATATATATATATATATCGATGTCAACCACATCGTCAACTTTCTCGATGTCACCTTCAATTTGCAAGAAGAGAGATATCACCCATACACTTGAACAAAGAGTGCTCAATATCGAGGTGTGATAGAGCAATATATTTATATATATATATATCGATGTCAACCACATCGTCAACTTTCTCGATGTCACCTTCAATTTGCAAGAAGAGAGATATCACCCATACAGAAAGCCAAACAACGACCCTCTTTACATTGACAGCCGCTCCAACCATCCTCCCTCCATCATTAAACAACTTCCGAAATCAGTGAACAAACGAATATCAAGTTTATCATCTGATGAGTCAAGCTTCAACTCAGCCGCGCAATTCTACGAGAATGCTCTCAACTGCAGTAATTATAAAGCCAAACTACATTACGCAATCAATAACGCCAAACCCGACCGTTCATCTACCAATAACCGTAAGAGAAAGATCATCTGGTTCAATCCCCCCTTCAGCAAGAACGTGAAGACGAACGTGGCCCACAATTTTCTGCGATTGATTGACAAGCACTTTCCTAAGACGTCGCGTCTCCACAAAATCTTTAATCGTAATACGGTAAAGGTCAGCTACTCCTGCATGAACAACGTAAAAACCTCAATCTCAAACCACAACCACCGTGTGTTACAAAGACGAAACGAACCATCCAGCGAAAGAAACTGCAACTGTCGAGTCAAAGAAGAATGTCCATTATCAGGAAAATGCTTGTCAGAGAGCGTGGTTTACAAAGCTGAAATTACGCCAACCGACGACGGCGATACGAAAGAATATGTTGGAATGACAGCAGGAAGCTTCAAGAACCGTTTCTCTAACCACAAAAAGTCATTCAACAACGCGCGCTACTCGACAGAAACGGAACTTTCGAAGTATGTTTGGATATTGAAAGAAAGCGAGAGACAATTCTCTATCAAGTGGTCCCTTTTAAAGCAAGTCCCGGCGTGTAGAGCTGGTGGAAAAAGATGTAATCTGTGTTTGGAGGAGAAACTTCATATCCTTGAATTGAGCAAAGACAGAGCGTTGAATAAACGATCGGAATTGTTTGCGAAGTGTAGACACCGCAATAAATTCAGCGCGCAAAAATTCAAAATCGCAAACGCACGCGCAAGTCATCTCAACGCGTCAGCAAACCGTTAGTTATAAAATCATAGTATCCATTCGCCTGAAGATCGCTTTTAAGCGTGAAACACAGTGTAGCGATGAAAATATTTTAAGATTAAATATAAATATAAATATATATATATATATATATATGGGGGGACTGTATATATATATATATATATATATATATATATATATATATATATATATGACATTATATATATATATATATATATATATATATATATATATATATATATATAGTATATATATATATATATATATATATATATATATATATATATATATATATATATATATATATATATATATATATAATACACCCATTTGCAAAAACGTTGGCCGCAGATAGATAGATAGATAGATACTCGAAGTCTAATTAGAATTGCATATGATAACATTTGCATGGGATTTCTATAATATTACACAGCATATGCAATTCTAATTAGATTTCGAGTATCTATCTATCTATCTATCTGCGGCCAACGTTTTTGCAAATGGGTGTATATATATATATATATATTTTAATATATATATATATATATATATATATATATATATATATCTATATATATATATATATATATATATATATATATATACCCATTTGCAAAAACGTTGGCTGCAGATAGATATATACAGGGTGTCCCAAAAAAAGTCCCCGCTATTGAAATGAAGCTTTTGTTGGAATTTGAATGCATGATCAACGCAGTAGTGTGTAAATAGCATATTTATTTGGTTGAGGCATTCAAATAAAGCGTCTTGCTTTCAATTGGGTTTATCATAATATTAAGGCAATCAGATTCGAACAAAGGCTTGATTTCAATAGAGGGGACATTTTTTTGGGACACCCTGTAGATAGATACCTGAAATCTAATTAGAATTGCATATGTTGTGTAATATGATTGAAATCTCATGCAAATGTAATCATATGCAATTCTAATTAGACTTCGAGTATCTATCTATCTATCTATCTATCTGCGGCCAACGTTTTTGCAAATGGGTGTATATATATATATATATATATATATATATATATATATATATATATATATATATATATATATATTAATATTTGAAACGTGTTAAAGTCTTTCTTTTACGGTTTTACCCGATCATTGGAAATGTGAAGCTGTTTTCGAACTTGTATTAAAAGGTTGGGAATGTTTGTTTGCTACTCTCTACTCAAAATCATCGTCCTGTTCTTCTAAAAGCGACAAGCCTAAAACTGTTTTTCTTTTTCAGATAAACTACCCTGCACACAAGAAAACAGTTGTGGGTGCGTTGAGGATTACGAGGATTGTCCGCCATCACTTCCTATTGAGTGCTCGGGGTCAAGAATTTGCCTTTCGGATCCTTATTTTGATTTTCACCCATGTTGTGATTATTATATTTTATTTAGATGATTAATTTGAAGGAACATTAGGAATAATTTATGTGAACTATCATTGTAACTGGTTTATTGGTATTTGGTATAATAAAATTCGTCGCTTCACTTATACCCCTAACGTACTTCCTTGTCAATATACACTGAAATAATTAACATATTGCAGATTGATCACGTCAAGGCTCTGTTTTTCAGTTCACGAGATTCGTAAAACCAAACCAGGAACGTTGCGTAAAAATTTAACTTTTACGCCTCGCCTTCAGAAGTGTAGTCCATTTCTGCGACCCGTAATAGAAAGGAAACTGTGAAATAGTGTATCAAGAAAAAACCCAAAGAAACACAAAAGAGACAGGCTTCTCCTTCGCCCTCTTCCATGCTCTACAAAGTACAAAGAGGGTTGGCGATTGAGGCGTCGATTGTGTTTTTTTCCCCTACGTTTCCTTTTGTCCTATTTGTCGGTTATGTCGTTGTCTGAAGACTTTATATTTGAAATCTTTTCCTGCTGTTTTAATGTCTGAAATATTTTCACCTAAAAGCGTCAATAAACGTATACTCTCGGCATTTAACATTATATATCCTAGTAGCGCAACCAATGACATCACTCACCCTCAGTAGAGTTGGACAAATGAAAGTCATCGTAAAATGTTCGTTTCCTTTCGTCCAATGACGCGTTGTCTATATACATGAGTCTGAGTGCGAGTATGGAAGTATACACATTTGAAGTATGAAATCTATAATTATACATACGAACTTGGCTAACAAGCAATGCGATGCTGTGCAATAGCGAAAACCAATTTTCATATCAATATAAAGAATATACATGCATTTCATATCAATACACTGTTTTGAAGTTTTGCGGTGTCAATATTATTAATATAAAACTAGAATCGCTTATACAACCCTAAAATTATGATAGCATTATTGCTTTAAAATGATGTGCAAAATAATTTGGTTTGCAGGACCTAGATACGTGGTAAGAAAACGTAAAGCGATGTCGTGAACATGAGATCTGGTATAGTGTTAGCGGGCTCCGTCAATAACCGACATGTTGGGAGTAATCTCCCTGATATTTCCATGCAAAGTGTTTTCTGAAGTTAGAAACGACAGGCCGGACAGGGGAAGCATCTAACTCTGCACTTTTGCACTCCCTAACATTGCATTACTGACGCCAATGTACATGTTATTACAAATAATACTAAATAGAAGGCTGGATTTTGCAATTCAATTTTTTCACCGGAACTATAACCGTTTTATCCCATATAATATTGATTTTGTACAATTTGCATGTGTAGAGGTTTCTACAGGAGTGATGTTTTTTAAAATAAGAAAATTAGTAGGAGAGGCAATCAGGCCTTTTTAAAGATAAAAATTTTATATATTTCTCGACTTGCACCGATTAACTCTAGAGGCCGTTCGTTTAAAGGTTTGTTCACACACCGCAATTCCGTCGGGCGGATGATGGCCTTTATTATTAATCCGAGGGACGAAATCATGATGATGAAATCATGGCCAGAAATTGCAGACATGGAATATGCAGATTTCCCTAACAAATTTGCATATCTGTTAAAATATTATTTGCGTTAATTTGCAGATCTATAAATTATATTGCGCATTCTTAAATTTCGCAAAACTGATTTTATAAAATGATTGCTTAATTGCAAAGTCATGCAGGGACGCAGCAATCTCATTAATATTTGGTGTTAAAAAGTAGGCAATGTCTGCTACTCTCTACTCAAAATTATCGTCTTGTTTTTTTAAAGCTGACAAGCCTATAACTACTGTTTTTGCTCATTCTTTTTCAGAGAAGGTACTCTGCAACCGAAAAACCAGTTGCAAGTGCATTCCCGGTAACATGGCATGTCCGCCATCAAGCTCTACTTAAACCCCTGTTACATGGTGCAATTTTTCGCCTCAAAGACACCATGATCACAAGAAGTGTAATTCAGTTCAGCCGTCCGTGGTAGAAAGGAAACTGTATAGTTTATTAAAAGAAAGCCCAAAGAAACACAAAAAAGTCGACAGGCTTCTCCCTAGCCCTTCCCATTTATCATTGAAAGCTATCGCTCAACAAAGAGGGACTTCGACCTGGGCAAGTTTTCACCTTTTTGTCCAGGCTGAAGCATCCAAAAGTTTTCCGATCTATTTTAGGCAACTGGAATATGGATTGTGTTTTTCGTCCAATGCATGACGAGATGAATAACACTGCTAACATTTTGTTAAACTGACTAATTGATATCCGTTAACACAATCTTCATTGACAACTTTTCCAAATTTCCTACAGTCTGAAGATTCAAGAGGAAATTTATTTGAAATTGACCGCCGGAAGCAGACATACTGTAAATAAAAATTGACATGGGCCAAGAAGGTTTGATTGACTACTCCATACTTGCAAAGTAGTATTCACTGCGACGTATTACCATGCATATTCATTGCGGGTTAATTTCCTCACTATACTTTTTCTACCTCCTCCGCCAGTGGCGTAGCCAGATCGATCATTGGTGGGGGGGGGGGTGCATATTCATACATTAGCCGTTCACTCCGAAATGTTATGAACACCTGAGAACGACAACACAATAACCAAATCGAAAAAATCTTAAGAAATGTCGGTCAGACTTCGGTCTGACGTCGGATCAAAGAAAGTACATCGTCACCAAAACTAAGTCCTGCAGCATTGTCAGACAAATGCTGCTCGGCACCATTAATGAAATATGAGCACTGGAAGAGAAAACATTCTGAACAGTTTATGTGATGAACTTATATAAATTATACAAGCACTGTATCAGTATTAAATTATTGCTAGTTAACTATTCATCTTAACCAGAAATTCAGCACATTAATTACCATAAAAGTTCATAATGCCAGGATTTCGCAATCAAAGATGGCTGCCTCGTTATAATAGAATTATATAAAGTACAAGAAAAAAATTACAATTAAAGCAACTTCGGTCTTGCATATTGTGGTTGCGGAGCTTGATTTAAGACAGGCAGGAACTCAGTACTGATATGACATTTTTTTATATTTTTAATTTCAAATTTTGTCTCGTGCTTTATATAATTCTATAATAACAAGGCAGCCATCTTTGATTGCGAAATCCTGGCGTTATGAACTGTTATGGTAATTAATGTACCCAGTGGCGTAGGAAGGGGGGGAGCACTGGGAGCACGTGCCCCCCCCCAAGATTTTTCAAGGGACCAAAAGTGCCCTTTTTGGGAGAAAAAAATGCCTTTTTGGGAAGCGAAAAGAAAGAGAAAAGTATCTATTATTTCCCTATAATCCTTAAGAGAGGGATTTGCGGCCATTTCTGAGGCCTATATCTCATAATTTTCTCGGGGGAGCATGCCCCCGGACCCCCTAACAGTACGAAGCCCAAGAAATACGAAAAATGCTCTGCGGTCGGCGGCCCCTGACTGATCAAACTGTCCCTATATATATATTTTTATCAACCATTTTAACCGTCATTTTATTAATCAAAAGTGCCCCTAGAAGCTGGTGCCCCCCCCAACCTCTGGATGCTTTCTACGCCCTTGAATGTACCGAATTTCTGGTTATGTTTAAAACGATAGCGAACAAATAATCTTTGAGATACATACAGAGTAGTTAGTCATAATAAAAAATATATAACAGTTCACAATGTAAACAAAACGCTTGTTGACATTACGACTGGATATAAACTTTGAACTGTTTATTTGATATATTTAACATTCTCGTATTGCTTTATTAGGGGGCCTACTTCTCTAAACTTATTCATCCGCGGGGACTCCCATAGTGATGAACGGATGGAGCGCCCGAGCACGGGCAGCTGCCCTCTAGTCTTTCCCAACAGGAGCACTGAAGGAAGGGGAGCACTAAATGAAGGGGGAGCAAAGATCTCCTTTTACTCGAGACGATTACATTCTATATCTTCACTAGAAGCAAACATATACTCTCACTAGAAGTGCAACCATCCAAATCTCCCGTCCCTTCGCCCTTGCATCGTTCCGGCGTCATTGTGCCTTCAATGTGTCAAATATTTTGTTGAAGTTGTTTGTCCATGACGTATATACGTATTGTGTTGTACAATCTCGTATTACAAGCAGTCTACAATTTTTAAAAATCATGGGAAACGAGTTTCATGTAGCTGTTCTTGTCGTATTTTTCTTAACTTTACACGTTGGCACAAAGGCTAGATATTGTAAAGATGTAAACTACGTAACAATTAAGGATGCGAGACGAAGCACGGCCTACATTCTGCCACATAATTCTTCTTCGAACAAGCTCTGCGATAGAAAGGCGATTATAGACGACGTTTGGTACCGGTTTTCAAGTGAAGCTGGAGGAGATATAGCAACGAGACGGCCAAACCGCGGAGGATGTGGTACACGAGCACCTATATGGATGAACGGCACTCATCCTACGGTGGAAGAAGGAATTGTGAAAAGAAAAGCTTGTCTCGACGCACCACTGGTCATACCTTATGGCTGCGGTTATTCTTACGATATAAACGTGAGAAATTGTAGTGGCTACTATATTTACCAACTAAAGACGCCATCTCAATGCGACTCAGTTTACTGCGCAGGTATACGCTTCTATCGCTTCCTACAAGCTTTTATTAACATACAGCTCAAAAGTGATTACTATAAATGATCGAAACACGGTCCCAGTAGTTTGCGGGCGGCTGGGCTTTGTCTTCTTGCACATGATGCTTTGCCACTCTGTTAGACTAGGAAGGTACTTTATTGCAATTGCATTTATTGATAACCGTATTTCAAAACAGCATTTATCACAAGTGCATGCAATATCGTAATTTTGAAAATGAAGGATCGACATTGTGCAAAGACGTCAAATAATCTGCCATAAATCACTATATATGTAAATAATTGAAGACGCGTGAAGAGCATCATGAATATTATCCAGAGTTTCTTTTACATATGCTGTAAACCTCGTGTTTGTAGATCGATTTGTTTATACAATGCCATTCCAACTAACAACTGCTATCACTGGCTAGTACTTCAGCTAGCACTGCCTGGGCCAAAAACTACAAGCCTTCGAATTAAATGTGAAACTTATATTAATATGCATGATTAATTCAGCAAAGCTTATAGTCTCAAAGAACTGGTTTCACTAATACAAATAGTAACTACGATGAAGCTCTATAGCAAACATTATTTCAAATAGATTAATCGTGTTAAATTTAATCTGTATGATATTTGCGGAAACAATAACAAGATCGAATCGTGCGAACTAATATAATATATAAAGGGTAAACAATGATGTGGGAGTCAGACACATGAATGAAATGTAAAATTTGATCCGGTCTTGGTGTCCTGTTTCCAGGCAACAGAAAGGCTGACAAAAACAGGATCTTTGTGTCATCGAATTATTCATGACTTGCATGTATGATATGAACACAGTTAATAGAATATGCATGGTTTGGAGACCACATAAAACTAGAATACTAACTATGTTGAGGTAGATTGAGGCAAAAATTGTTCCTTTCTCATCATACGATGTCTATTGTATTTTGCACAAATAAACCAATAGCAATCTTTCATATTTTTCAAGTCAATGTTGAGGAGCTTAGCTAGACGAATGCCATTGGCAACTAAAATACAATATAGACACGTGACGAGAAAATAACTATTTTTGAATAAACCTATATATAGACAATAGCATAGTAATGAGTTGTATTTTACTTTGAAAATTTGTCAGGTGTTTGTCCATATAGCTATATGGATGCATGGAGACGATACCCTCCAGAAATGGCAAACAGGCCTGTAACGATTTTTTCATGCATTTTCATCGTCTGAACACAAGCCAAAACTAAAAAGTGAAACTGCATGACGAACCGTCAATTAAATCTTACGTACCTAAATTTAATACAAATATCCACTTTTTCAGTTTTCGCTGCAGATATATACAGTTGACTGAAAACAAGAAAGCGTGCATCCTTCTTGGTGCTAAGTTTACAAACTATTCACATGAGCGCGAGCATTTGAAATATATATCCAACGTTACTCTAGCATCATCCCGTAATGCAACGAATCTAACTTTAAATTAAACAACAGAAAAGTATTTCGGTAGAATGCTCACTGGAACAGTTAAAAGTAAGGCCGTAAGCTTCCTATTTTTAAGACAATGAATAAACAGCATAGTAAGATAAAAAGAAAAAAATAGATTATAAGACCATAAGGGTAACTGCCCAGGTTGCTTAGGTACTTCCAAAGCAGCGTCGCTCTGCAAGCAATCTTCAGTAAAACTTTTTGCATGTTTGATGCATGCTAATCTTTAAGCTCGCTTTCCACTAGGCGAATTCATTCGCGCGATGCGAAGCGATATCTGTAATCGGGTGATGTGATTGGTTTGCGAGAAAAATCGTCGTGAAAAAGTAGAATCGCGCTGCCTACTTTTGATCAGTGTTCGCGCGGATAAATTCGGCTAGTGGAAAACGGGCTTTAATCATCCAAGATTTTATAAGACTGAATTCCCGCTTGCTGTATAGCTTGGGTATACTGTTAACTGAGAAATCAATATTGACGGTATTTTTCTATTTACTGTAGGTTCAAAGCTACCTAACTGTTCGAATGCTGATCCTGAAGACTATTGCCTTGGTATGACTTTTAAACTAGACGAAATACTGATTGGAAACTTTGTTATTATAGCTTGTTTGAAAAGAAATTCCGAAGAATAAAGGCAACTTGAAATTAACGATCAATCTTGAATTTAATTCAAGATGGTTATTTTGTTTCTTTTTATAGCTTGTTTATTTTGGTCTAATAGCCACAGTTAATGAATACAATCAAGTCCGCGTTTTATATTTAATATAGTAATACATTTAATAATGAAACGCTTTGCAGTTACAAAATGACTTCTTTTATTTGTTTTAAGCAAATCGACCGCCGTATATTACAATGCCCGACCGATTATACGCCGTCGAGAATAGCACATTTCAACTAGTCATAAATGGAACCGACCCAGAACGTTATCCTTTGACATACGAAGTTCCCTCAAGCGTGAACATCAGCATTGTTTCATACGACAAAGCGCAGAAAAAAGTTCAGATTTTTGCGAGCAAATCTGGGAGCATATCGCTGAAAGTTATTGACTACGAAGACCTTGCAGCCAATCATACATTAAGTATCCAAGTCGTATCTTGCCCTTGCCAAAATGGAGGTAATGTAACGTTATTTTCAAAAAAGCTGGTTATTAGATATTAAATAAGTTCAAACAGGATAAGTTTATATGATATGTTTTCTTTAGTATCCAGCAAACGCAGGACATGAAATTTTTGAAACGCTTTAAAGCCCGATGCGTGTAGATCCACTGTAGCCACTCACATTTAATATAATCGATTCAAAATGTGAAATGACTGAAATCTAGTCCAAACTGAGCATGCTCTTGCGCATGCGACGTTTTCGTAATTTCAAATTGTATGAAATAACGCTTCGTATTTTATACGTATTTTTTGTTTAACTTAAAGGTACATGCCGCAGCAACAAGAATGTATCTGCGAATCTTGAGGAGGTGTCCAATTTCACATGTACTTGTCTTAAATCATTTTCTGGGAGGTTGTGTGAAAATATCGACCAATGTAGGAATTTGCCATGTTTTCCGCGTGTGAATTGTAGTGTAACAGGTGATAAATACTACATCTGTGGAAAATGTCATCCCAGTATGGAAGGCGATGGCCGGAATTGTAAGCTTATTCTGCCTAATGGTGAGTGATCATAATTGTTAGACTATAAGGAAATTGATAAGGAATAAACTTTAATTATATTTTTATGGACCTTTGCATTAATAAATGTCGTGAGCTCAGATTTGCCAAGGCATATTGCTTTTAAGTTGGTAAATTCTGTTTCCATGCAGCTAAAGGTATCCATCTTTAATTTTACATCACTATGGTATAATTTTTCAAAATCGCCGCTTCGATTAATCTTCGTACAATAGTAGACCAATAGTTACATAGAAGCTTAATTTGGGGAGGAATTGAATGCTATGATATGAATATATGAATACAACCCCAATTTAGCAGTCTACCCAAGTCCCAAACAAAGATAGCAACACTGACCCCAGTGTGCGTGGACTTATTGAATTCTAGAAAATATCATTATGATTTCTATATTTTTCAAAAAGATATTTATAGAAATGAACTTATATAGTTTTCAGCTTTCAATAATTAAATCAAACATTTTCTTTGACAACCCAACTGTGCATGGTTAATGTATACGTAATTTCAAGAATTTTATTTGTCGAATGTTACAGGTGCGGTTGCAGTTGTACTAACCATGACTATCATCTCTGGATTGTCATGGAATGATGACCTTCTAAATAAAACATCCTTCATCTATAAGGAGACTACTGCTGAGATTGAAATTCAGGTACAATTTTACCATTAATTTCTCGTCAGCGAACTAGAAATACTGAAGTAAATGTGCATCTTTTATACCTATAGATCATAAAGGCCTACAGCGATACAAAACAGTTCTTGAATGTGATTGTTAACAGTTATCGGTAAAAATTTAATTGTATAAATTCACTTGTTAAATGTGTATTGTACATGTAAGCTCTAACACCATTAACACGCACATGCAGCACAGTTGAAACCGGTCAGGCGAAAGCAATTAGCCTTTCTCACGATGATGAATATGCCGCCATTTTGGGGGTACTTTTTTTCAAAACCATGAGCGTGAGACCTCATAACGGCCACAGTCTTTAATTTTAGGCTGGACTTATTCTTCAAATGGTCTGTTTATTTAAAAAAAACGCTTTTCATGTTAAATCATAATTTTTAAACCTATTTCAGAAAATCGAATGTACCCCAAAACGTCATCCTGAGAAAGGCTAAGTAACAATTTTGTCTACAGCAACACAGAACACAGATCACAAACCCAAAATAATAGTCGTATGACAGCCAATCACAAAGCTATAATAAACGCGTCAAACATTAAACTGGAAACGTGTAACATGCACCGCAACGCGTAAAGTGTAACGATGATTGAAACTAGACTAAAGGATATAAACCTATATTAATAGAAGATACTTAAGTTAACTTCTCGACACATTACACTAACTAACAAATGCACCAACAGAGTACAAACGACTTGTCACTTTTAGATTTTCCCCGTACATGCATAAGTTTTAAGCCTGATTCTCATATGTCACCATCGGTCGGCGATGGCTATTGTCGGTGATCACTGGAGAATAAAGTGCTTTGTTACTTTGTATAAATTATCTTCCTCAATGACCACAAACAATACATCGCCGACCGTCGGTGACATATGAAAATCAGGCTTAAGGATAGTCAATTATACGTTTTTTTATCAGCACGGTTGTCATATGCGGCAGTCCCAAAAAACAGTGGAACTACCATGAATAACTGCGTATTTCCTGAAATTACCATTAACTTTTCCTTTGCCTGTCATTTTCTTATCATGTTTTATCAATAAAAGCGTTCTGAGAAATATCGATCATTTGCTCAAATTTATCCGTTCACTTACAAAGTTCATTAAATTAAAAAACTCATTGAAAATCTCCTTACTTCTTGTACCGCGTATTTCACGAACCAAACATTTTTTTTATTTCATTGCGTATTGAACAATTCATATCGGGCATTTCATTTACAAATCAAATTTAAATTTGTTGCTTGTACATCCTGATTGGTCAATGAACAGGAGATTCCAAAAATATTTTACGAACTCTGAAAATCAACAGGAAAAGTACGAGCAAATGTGAATGCCTCAAAATTTTTCTGAACGCATCTATTGCCGTGACTGTAACCGTCTAATGTTCACATGCACTTATCTCTATCAACATAAATTACAGGAAGGGAAGCGTGTTGGTGGTGGAATTTCAAATTGTTTTAAAGAAAATGATAAATGATGCGAAATATGACCCAGTGAAGTTATTAAGAAGTCTTGCTAAGCAAAACAAGTTTGGAAGGTTCACCGTTGAGCCCCACAGTGTCAGGAAAAAAGGTTAGTAAATATTTTTCTGCAGTGTCCGGGAGAGAGTGGGAAGGTGCTAATATTGATATAACAATAAATTTGATACCAACCATTGTTCTTTAAATCCAAACGAATAAATGGTGTTACAAGCGAATCCGGTTTAGTGTAAAAATGGTGTATAATTCATACAAATAATCGTATAGCCTATAAAATGGTATTAAATAACGCTTTGTATTTGAATTTTTGTTAGGTACATGTCGCAACAACAACCACAAGAATATATCCACGAACCCTGAGGAGGTGTCCAATTTCACATGTACATGTGTTAAGTCATATTCTGGGAGGTTGTGTGAAAATATCGACCATTGTAGGAATTTGCCATGTTTTCCGCGTGTGAATTGTAGTGTAACAGGTGATAAATATTACACCTGTGGAAAATGCCCTCTCAGTATGGAAGGCGATGGCCGGAATTGTAAGCTTATTCTTCGTGATGGTGAGTGGACGTATTGTTTGAAGTGATTGTTGATAGAGAGTAAATTTAATTACATTTTTATGCAGCAACTTGTAAATGCCATGAACTCCAATTCGTTCTTAAAACATTTTGACTATCAGTTGGTCAATTCTGTTTCTATGAATAAGGTAATTAACACGAAAGATATTTCTAAATGCGATTGTTTCAATGACTATGGTGTGTAAACATGGATATATGAATACATAAGTAAGTTTAATGGTTGTAAATCTTTTATTGGAAAATCTCCCTTTTAAGCAACATTTTGGAAAAACATTTGCGTTTCCATTTTGCACAAACATCTGCATACATAATATATACAAACATCTGCATACATAATATCTACAAACATCTGCATACATAATATCTACAAACATCTGCATACATAATATTTATAATGCAAACAACTTTATGCTAAAATAGATACCCGTGCCCAATTTTATTAGTGTTCAGGGTACCAAAATAAAGGCGGGTACGGATGAAATGCGCACGGGTACCCATTTTAGCTCTGCCGTGCGAATAAATTTAGCGTAGTGTTGTAAGCAGGGCTTTAAGGTTATATTCGATGACGTTTTACTGTACAGGCGAAATGTCCCGGGAACGAAGCTGCACGAACATGCTTGTCCTTGGTATTACTGCAGTGATATTTAATTGCTGCATGTAGTAATTCTGATTGCTGAAAGTGCATGGACCCATCTGCAGATTAAAATAGCTGAAAATTAATTTAATTTCTATATTAATTCTTAAAAAAGATATCAGTAAAATTTGCACTTTTTTATTCAAGCATTTTCGTTTACATTGTAAGTTTAAGGGAAATCAACTTCAAGAATTTTATTTGTCGAATGTTACAGGTGCGGTTGCAGTTGTACTAACTATGACTATCATCTCTGGATTGCCATGGAATGATGACCTTCTAAATAAAACATCATTCGTCTATAAGGAGACAACTGCTGAGATTGAAATTCAGGTACCATTTACCATTAGTTTCTCCTCAGCAAACTAGAAATTCTGAATTAAATGTGCATTTTTTATACCTAGATCATAAAGGCTTACAGCGATACGAAAGATTTCTTGAATGTGATGGTTAACAGTTATCGGTACGTAGATGATATTGTTGCTGCACATGCAATAAAGATTTAATTGCATAAATTCACTTGTTATATGTCTATTGTACATGTAAGCTCAAAAACAATTAACATGCATGCACAGCGAAACAATCGATGTATGAGAACAAGAACTTGCAGGAGGTTATAGGTAAATAGTTCAATTACATGCCAAAAATTGCCGTCGGCAACGAAGTACACACATGCAGCTCACAAAATCGAACAAGTCGTATAACAACCAATTATAATATAAAATATAACACGTGATGATATAACAAGAAACCTATACTCAGCGTGCAAGGTTCGCTCGTTTGAAAAACGCGTAAGCGGGAAGAATCCCTATCGTGTAACATGGTCCGACTAAGTGAAAAGAAATAAGCGTAAACCTAAAGTAGCTATTTAACCTTCACTATATGAATATATTTATCTTGCTCTATACAGTACTGCGGTTGCGGTTCGGCCGCGGTTAGGTTGCCGTCGACCGATAGAAACCGGCCGAAGCCGACCGCAAAGGAAAAATTGCGGTTGCCGTTCGTTTCCGAACGGATGTTATGAACAGCTGAGAAGGACAACACAATAATCATATCGAAAATATCTTAAGAAATGTCTGTCAGACCGTTTTTGGCCGAGGTTAAACCTACGTCCCACCGTGGTTCGACCTCGATTAGACCGAGGTTTGACCTAGGTTAACCGAGGTTTTTGTTAGGTTATTTCTGGGCAGTATACTGTAATTGTCCTTTCTTAATGAATGACAAACTATGCTACTCAGTTCTGGGGTTAAAGCGTGGCTTTACCATGCAGCCGTGCGACTATATATACCACATTCATTTCTTACATTTTTGATATATGAATAAAGATAAAAACATAAGTTCAAAATGTTAGGGATGGTCCACCAGATATAAGTTTCCTGTGAAATGCACAGTTGTCATTATGCATGAAAAAACAAAGCAAATTGTCCAAAAAACGGAACAATTATTATAATTTATACAATAGTGATGAATAATTATTGGTCTTCATTTTCATGTGAAGTATTTTTTCTCAAAAAGAGCTCCTTTTATTCGCCAACGATCATGCTTATATAAAACTATCTGTAAAATAAACTACAGGAGAGGAAGCGTGGTGGTAGAATTTCAAATTGTTTCAAAGAAAGCGATGAAGGAGCCACTAAAGCCATTAAGAAGTTGCGTTAACCAAAACAAGTTTGGAAGATTCACCGTCGACCCGCAAAGTGTCAGTGAAAAAAGTTAGTAAATATTTGCTTTGTTTGTCCTAATAGACTTTACAAAGACCCTGCCATCCAATTTCTTGTGTGTAATTCTCTTCTGAATGCATGATAACTGCAAAATGGATATATATCAACGGCATGCGCACAATTTTATACATTGTTTCTTGCAAAAGAATTTTTACCGAAACTTAGCTAATGGAAATATTTCTGCTTAAATTCATTTTCACTTTTACAGCAACCAAATCGGCCGATGACACATATTTTGGACTTAAAAAAGCTGTCTTTATCGCCATAATGTGTATAGTGTCTCTTCTCGTGATCATATCCATTGCTATTTGTGGAATTTGCATCGGAAAGAAACACATCAGCGTAGTCTTGATAAATATCAGTGATGGTCAAGAACGTGAAATCTGTCCTGATGGCACTAAAGAGTCCGGCCTACAAATGAAAACTCGCCTCTCTCGTAACCAAGTCCTGCCCACCTGAGAAGGATTGAGAGCATGGGTGGTTAATAAAAAGGCCTTTGCAAAAACGTAAGCTCATTTAGAGCGCCTTCGCGGGAAAATGAGCCAGTTGACTGAGGCGCCTGCATTCCAAATTTATCATTGCGGTTACGAAATACGTTGTTCCGAGGCTAGGGTTGTTGAAATATATGCATGTATAGAATTCTTATAAATGTTACATCTTTTGGAATATCTAGCCGCTATATCTACAGGGTGAGCAAAAAAAAAACTGACACAAAAAAAAAACTGAAATTCAAATTAGCTGCAATGTGTCTGTAATGTGACAGAAGTTGCCTAAAATATTTCATTGGTATACGAGGTATATCATATTAATTAACCTAAAACATAAAGTTTGTTCCCTTTGGAAGTTAAAATGCATTCTAAGCTCTGTAAATACAAAAGAACAGTTCGTTTGTGTTGATTGTACTGGGGAATTGTTATATTCCAGCCATAAGTTCGCAGCTAATTTGAATTTCAAAGGTGTCAGTTTTTTTTACTCACCCTGTATATGTAGACCCTTAAATTTTCATCGCCTCCTTAAGACCCATTTACACTACGCGATTTGTCGTATACGATTCGTACCCTGGCGTATGTGAACGTATAAACACACGTACAAACGTGACACTTTAAATTCCACCCGGAACAATATGAAATGAAGATTGTGGTATAGGCCCTCTTTTACATCCGTTAGAATGATAATTGCATACAACTTATCGTGTAGTCTAAATAGGCCTTTAGGGTACCGTAATACACTATGACGACGTGTAATAAACCCATTTGTGGTTAGAACCTTCTGTTTAATTATATAAGCACAAAGAAAGTCCAAGGGGACCGGAAGCAGATTTAGGCTGCGGAATATTTCACAGGGAACGAAGTTTCAATAATATTATCGGTTAGGGAGTCCTTTATTGTAAATAAATTATATTTATAAAATAATGAACTATTTTTATTTTTTTAACATCAATAACAGAATAAATGTCATGGAGCGAGTTATCCTGGCTAGGAGAGGGGAAAACTACATAATAATGAAAGACTAATCAAGTTAAGCCTTTGATGTGCTTTTTATATCGCCTAGCTCGCTCTATTTAAACAGGCCCTTAGGGATATTTTTATGACTGCATGACGAAACTTTTTACCGAGAGCTTCAGAATGGCTTTGTCCAAACCTAAACCTCCTTTTCCCCCCCCGGCTTTGGTTTCTTTGTTCATTGCTCGGATCGGTGCTCTTTGTTGTTTGTAACATTAAAATTAGCATTGCTTGCATGAAAGATTATCAGATGCCAAATTAAAAATATGACAGTGGTAATAGTTCTTTGTCTTTGAGACGAGTCAGCAAGGTTAGCGTCCTGCATGTATTCCTGCCGTGTTTATGGCTGGGGTGATGAATTAATTTACAAAACATTTCGGAACTACAGCTATCTGATGTGATGTTCAATTGAGCAAATTATTTGATGAGAAGCGAAAAATATTCGGTCACAGAACACTCGAAATCCAGGGGAAGTGTGTGGTTGGAATGAAACGACCGACCAAAATGTTCAACTATAATTTCTCTCGCATGCAGTAAACTGTGTTTCATTATTTGAAAGCTTTCATTACGTCGGACATTCCCTCGACCATTTCTTCAAATTCTTCCATGATGACCACTGACAAATCTCATGTCAAAATATCAATGATTTATTATGAATATTATTGTTCACTATCATAAATGCATTCATTTACTCAGTATAACATATCAATGCCTCAAAAACGAGTGTTAGCTCTATATGACATATTTTGTAATGCAATAACATTTCCAAGACGAATTGCACTGATATTACTGACATGATCGACGCCGTATTTCCAAACCACTTTAAGGTGGCTTCTCAAGGGCTTAAACCAAGAGCAATCATCGACTGACTGTAGTTGCTTCAACATCTGACTGTAGTTGCTTCAACAAGTGTCGTTTTAGCCCATGATTATGAACGTGAAGAAGTCGTCAAAGTCCAATAAGTTAAGAAGAGTGTCGTGTGCAATATGTCAGTTGGCTTAATTTCATTTTGATTGCAGTCAATATTGGATGGAGAAGATGTGTATGTAAAAACTGGCAGACAATACCGTAACGGAATATGCCGAATATAATGCTACAAATAGGCGATGCTACTTAATTTATCTAGGGAGAGGAGTGATTGCATACACACATCTTTCGTCATCAAATAACGGTAGTGCAATTGTAACACGGATGACTAGGCACTTCTTTGCGTTGACCTTTCGTGCTTCAAGACTAGAATGATCTGTTGATTCTTTCCTCTGTGATTATTGGGTCCTGCCTTTCCTCCAAATATACTGGACTAATTCAAAACCGCGTACCATACAATTCCCATCCGTATGTCCAGAATTTTTTGGCAAACCAATATTTTTTACAGACGACCACTCTGGGTTTCTTAATATATCACAATAATCGGAATACGCCTGTCAATGACGAATACGCCTTCAAATATACCTTCTAGCTTATGTGCATTCCTTGAGCTTTTTATGTCATCTTGCATGTATTGTAGAGTTACCGAAATATAAGTACTATTTTAACTATATAGTTGGCTTCATTTTGAGCTAAATTTACCTAGAGTAAATACTTCGCCTTATCATGAATTTTATTTCAAACCGAGAGCCTATATATATACCCCTGCTCTTCACCTATATAATATATCAAAATTGTTTAAGTATAAGATTCATCCAATTTGTACTTTGACAATCATAATGATTATGAATTGCATACTTGTTACACTACCTAGAATCTCTTCCGTAAAGGCTTCTTTTCTACTCATCGCAAAATCAACTCGCAAAAATAATAAATGATAAGTAATGGTAAAATAATTCAGATTTAATCATTACAAGCCAATAGGTACATGGGCATGGTGTTATCTCATACAATTCTTTCCTCTTGTGCATGCGAATATTAGTGACGAAAGTATGCAGATAGCTATATACTTCCTGATCGACATCGGGTATATTATAACCTCATAAAATTACATCGACTAACACACGAGTTTGATGGGTGACACTGGACTTCAAATTATTCATAAAGATCTTGTCTAGTTTTTGCGAAAATTCTAGAGTGAAAAAGATTCATATCAATTGGCATGCATATTCTCTATGACTCTGCCGTGAATCACGCATACTTTTACCACTTCCAGTATGGCAAAGTAGCGACGAAGTAAAATATAACCGCTTGTAACATTGTTGCCCTGACTAACAAACATTATTACCATAGCATAGCTAGCATAACATATTATGCATAGCAGTGTAAACACAACAACATAAGAAGCGGAGATGAAATTGGATGTATGATCAGATAAAGGCTATATATATACGAACCAGCCGTCTGTAATTGGGTAAATTTTATGGCTGGAATGAGTAATCTTGGTCATTTAAAACAAGATACCAAGACCAAATACAAGATCTGGATAATTTTTTCCCCTTTCTATTTTGGACTCAAGATTTGCATTTCACTGAAGGCTGTGAAGCATGTGAGGGCAGCCGTGCAGAACTGAGGCGTTCTCACTGTTTGTACCCCACGCGAACAATATCTGATCTAATGCACAGGAATTCCGATTTTCGAAGAATAAACGTTTCAGCTTTCATTCTAGAGGTCAATTTGGAAAAATACATGTCGTGATAGTTCCTAACTTCTATTCAAAAGAATAACTTGTAGCTTTTTGCGACAAACATTGCATGTGTAATATTATGCGTAATTATGCTTTTCAATGAGGCGTAACAATCTGGAATGATTTTATTGAAGGATTAAACAGTTAACACTTAACAGCTACGCTCACTTGCTGCTAACTCTCCTTCAGAAGTAGACGTGGTGGAAGGGTCAAATTGTGGATTCAGAATGGCTAATATTCGTCTCGTGAAAGCGTTCGCACTTCTCGCATTTGCTTGTTTGTATGCTTGCGATATGGTAAGTTTAATTTCCAGTTCGTAAACATTCAATAACTTGAAACAACTGTGCGCGTAAACTGATACAGGTGATTGAACAGCTACGTTGGACGGTACCCGCAACCACTGATTTTAAGACAGTGCCCTTTCAGCTACTTTTACTGATTCGATGCGCCAACTTGCGTTAAGTCTGCGTAAAAATTTAGCAATGTTTAAGATTTACTTGGTCAATATTAAGCGCACTACAGATATATATATATATATAGTTTTTTAACAGTACTGCATGTGTTCAATGCATGTCGGTGTGTCAGATAACTCAGATCAACGTATTGTTATGAAATATAGATTATTGTAGCGGACGTTTGTCCGAGTAACAACAATATACTGATAATGCGAATAACTAGATTGAAAGACTTCATATGTTGCGCTCGGGAGGTAAAATTGGTATACCTTAGCGTGGTGGTGTGAACTAGCAATCTTTGTCAGTACTCAAGTGTTCTGAAACGCGTATCGGAGTCCTATAGTTCAAAAGCGATGTGCATAAATAAGTTGTTCAACCGCGCGTGAAATGGACGGGTTATTTTCAAGTTCCGCAGTATCATGGGCTACTTCTAAATGATGATATTAAATGTTAAATCATATAACGGCGTTTTAACGAGTAACTATGCAAAATATAGAGCAAATACCAGACATTGCATTGCTGAGTTGTTTTCGTCTGATTGTAGCAAATAGCCATTATCATGCATGCCTGCGTTGTCTTTGTGTTCAACTTAGGGGGGGGGGATGTATTGAAATCATAAACTTTTCCCCCAATTTTATGTCTAAACATTGCCATACATATAGCCAAGCGTATATAGATAGTAGATACTAAAGAAAAGTATATTATACTCATAGCTGGAAGACAAGATGCATTGTAAATTACCTTGTTGCAAACCACTTCATTTCTTATAAGTGGATTAATTTTGTAAACGAGAGAATAGAAAAAAAACACACATGAATCATTTATAGCAATGCATACATGCAGGCTCTACTGAAAGTTGATTTACCGTTGCATAACTCATAGCATTATATTACATCGGTTATTTTAATGTAACAATAAGTTATAATTGTTGTAATAGAGTTTTCGGTAATTACATCACAACATTATCATTTTAAATTTAGAACCGCGGTCTGTCTTCTTAGCCTCGTTCTCGTGTTATATTATTTCCACATTTATTGGTCAAAACAAAAAATCTTTTTCATGCATGTGTTGCAGAATGATATTTTGCATCTTTGCATGGGGCTCGTGAGAGTAAGGCTTGAAATCCATTTCATTTAAGATGGTTCTAAATTTACAACGTTGTGATGTTAAAATGTTGTGACATAATTACCGAAAAGGTCTATTAAGATTGATTTGTCGGTTTCAGGGTGCAGAAGCTTTTGGTAACTCAACATCAAATATAACAAATGAAACTAAACCTGAACATAAGTATGACAAGTGCTACGAGGATCGACTTACCAAATACCCATGTTCAAGTACTGTAAGTATTTATAAAACCTGTCTATAGTTAGTATAGTATGCTGCAAACCTGGTCGTTGTATGATTTTTGATGGTTTTTTTCCAGATTATTGGGAACTTCCTCCTGATTGTTTTCTATGGGGCATTGTTGATGGTTGCTGCAAAACTGATTTCAGGTTTACTATTAGCTACGTTGTTTATAAAAAACTTGCCCTGAAAAGTGAAAACCTTTTTTAATATTATCTATCCTTTTTACCCCTCGTCGCAGTCTCCACAATTACAATGTGTTACACTGACTGCGTCTTACATCCGATAGGCTGGCATGAACTGCAAACTAACCTACATGCAAATTTCTAAATATTAGAGGGTGCTGAGTTGTTGCTGGATCTTGGGCTACCTGCAGGGCTGATTGGTAGGTGTAAATTTTTTCCATACAATCCTATAGAATTATACTGTATCGAATCTGTACAACATAGTAGTTATATATACTTGCGGTAAAAAATGTTACACGTGCTCATCTCTATTTCGTTGGCTGTTATGCATATCTTATGGTTTATATATTTTGTTAAGAAGTTATTATGACTTATGCCACTAGGTGGTATTGTTTTGCCTTTGCTTGGAGCTGTACCAGATTCTGCTATTATCATCGTTTCCGGCTTGAAACCAGACGCACAGAACCAATTATCTGTTGGTATGGGGTGAGTATTCAGTGCGCAGTTATTTCTGAGAATTTTTTATACTGTTACGAATGTTAATTTTCAGCTAAAATATCTCCAAATTTGGATTTCGCACTATTCAAACGAAACACGTTACAACTTAAAACCAGGCAACCAGGCGATTTGGCAAGTTCGCACAATGAAGTTAAAATTAGGTCTATATGGTCGAACATGTTACAGTAGAATTTCAAACTTTACAAAAAAATAAACCTTTATATATAAACCTTTCCAAACTGAACTAAAAAACGATTGAGATCGTTCGATATTAACTCTCAGGCCTGTTTCAGACGTAGAAATTTTCATGTGCCGCCGAATCGAATGCAAATAAACTTAAACAAAGACTTTAGCTCATTAGCCTCATTTGCATTGGGTTCTGCACATGAAAAGTTCAACGTTTGAAACGGGCCTTAGTGAATATCGTATATGCTTATTGCGTCTTGCCGTCTCTGTGGTCTAGTCGTCAAACAGCCAGCAATATTATACTATGTACGCTAATGAAACTTAATTGCTAAAAAAATCTGAATATGTCTTTCTTAAATAACAAACTTCTCCAAAGGAGAAGTGTTAACAAGCGCGCGTTTCATACATCATAGTTATACCACGTGTTATGGTGCAGGGGCTTGGTGCGTCAGATTGGGAAAGTGTCTCGAGATGTGATTTCGACCAATAATTCTTGTTTGCATGCCTAATGACTGATTATGATGTCATATGTTTTAAGTTTATGTTATCATAAATTTACTTCTGCTTTTCAAGAGAACAAACTGCGTTGATTTACTTTTTCCTTGTTTATTTTGTAACTGCTTATCATCTCTTTCGTATATATTATCGGGAGGGTATTAAAATACAGCAAATATGAAAAAAATATTTGTTCACATGTTTTGAAAAATCAACCACGATGGCGGTAATTGCAAACCACCTACATATATTATCTAATTTTTGTCTAACGAACTCACAGAATAAATTAATGCACCAACATTAATACGAATTTACCTCCCCCTGAATATAAACAATTATATAGGCTCCCATGAATTTGAGGTTACTACAGTAACACTTGTTGTTCTATGCTATTCAGAACACTGGCTGGATCTACTATTATGTTGTTGACAATTGCGTGGGGAGGCAGTTTGTTCCTCGGAAGATGTGACTTGGATTCTAAAGGCGAAGCAATTGAAGAGACTGGGGAAGGAGTTCATTGTACGAAACAGGTAGGTAGAATATTGCGCAAATATTTTTTGAATCTTTGGGAAAATGTGGTGTCATATTTTCGAAATAATTTCTATTTGGGACAGAAGTTTTGTCTTTAATTAGTTTCGTCTTAACATGATTGGCTTATTGCACGATTGTATATATGCACAGAGAAATACTGGTTATAGCGAAACTGACAATGCATTAGGGGACGTGGACATGAAAGCTCGTCCTCAAAACAAGCCAGGATTGTAATCTATACATCTTAACGTTTTACGTTTGTTCTCTAGGGAGTAACTCTTCTTCCTTCTGTACCGAAATCGGCAATCATCATGCTTATTACCTCGCTTCTTTACCTGTAAGTGTCAAACACGGTACAGACTGTTACAGTTCCATAAGAAAGTTGCCGGGTCATTTTTCATATTTAAAAAACGAAAACTATAATTTTAGATGTTATTCATTTGTTGAGCAGCTTTGATGAATAATTAATTGTGCATGAACACTAGTTATATTAGCAAATATAAAATCTGTGGTTCTCGCCACATAGAAATTTGAAACAATGTGTTAGCTGCAGGGTAGAGCCATGCATGTGCCGTGGCGGCTTTAGAGTAAGTCACTGAGAATATATTACTAGTGTACTACTTTAACGACTCAATCTGCTATTCACCTGCAGCATTGTTCAAAGTGCTGACTGGCACTGGGGTCCCAAGAAGTATCCTCCTCGTGATAAACATCAACCGAAGTATGTGAGAGATGCTGCGTTGGCCACCTTAATCTTCTGTATCATTTGTTTCTTTGCCTATCTTATATTCCTGGTGAGTTTTATTCATTCATCTAACGACATTCATTCCAGAGTCAACCCCGCGTTTTTCAAACATTGGGGAGTTTTAGATCATACTACATGCATGGAAGAATCTACTGATTAAAGGACTATTTTGTAAAAATAATGTTTAAACTAATGTTTTGATTAATTAACAAATTATACGAACTGAAACCCACTTAAAAATATTTCACGCAACTCCCTCGATATTAATAGGCCAGATGATATGTTTCATCAAAAAAGACAGGAATTCCCTGTTGTTTAAGGAATGTGCAACCGTTATACTGACTTGCCTTTATTTGTTTATTCTAGCTGCATGATTTTCTAGCATACAATCATTCTAGAACCCATACTCCTGCTTGCATGTATTTTAAAAGCTCACTCATACTCATCGAGTGTAAGATCTTAAACTCCGCGCAGAGATTCCGGAATTGGACTCCAAATTGAGCTTGATTTTGGATGTTTTACCTTTCATTTGATTCTATAATAAATCTTTCTATTGATTAAAAAACGTCACACGTAATAACTGTGAGTGAGCTTTTTTAATGCAGGCGATAGGATTTTACAATAATGAAAAAGCTGAAGGGAAAAATCTAATTAAGAAGAAAGCAATAATTTTGAAATTCTGTGTTTAGGTGTACGACAGCAAAACTGCAGAATTGAGAGCTTTGAAACACAGGCAGGAGGAGTAAGTGTTATCGGGCAATCCTCCAATGAAAATGCAATATCATTCTATTGGTATTTTAATTTCATTTCATATTCATTCCTCCTCTTGGGCTTATCTTCATCACTCCAAATGTTGCGGACACAAGGACAAACAAAGTTATTGCATGCTCAAATGTTTTTAACCCTGTTCTCTTTTGTTATCCAGGATTCGTCGTCGCGTCGTTCATCGTTTCTATGGCATTGCTAATCGCAACATTTTCGGAGGAGCTCGCGGGGACGATACTGATGGTGAACCAGAAGATCCAGAGGCTCAGAAGCAAGCTTCAAGTAAGTATCATATCTTAAGGCCTTGTTACACGGTGCAATTTTTCTTGCAACTTGCAATGCAATTCTACTTCTAAGAGATGTAAATTAGTGAAGAGTCTTGCAGAAGAGAAGTGCATGAAGTGTAACAAACACAAAAGTTTCGTTGTTCCCAAATATGCATCTCTAAAAAGTAGAATTGCATTCCAAGTTTTAAGAAAATTTGCACCGTGAATCAGGGCCTTTAACTACCGGGTAAAACACTCAGTGAATATATTTCATCCATTTGCGTGCGAATTACGATTTCTTGAGCACACGATAGTGCTCTAAATCCACTTGACTACTAACTCATTTGCCCCTGCCTCCAAAATGTCATCAATCGAACTCTTGTTCAACTGTCGGTGTATAAATTTTATGCTTTGGCGCTCCCAGGGCTGAAACAGTATGGAAGTTTAAATATCCATCCAAATGCCATTTCTATGCATATGGATATAGAATGGAAACAATATAGGTATATAGCTATATAGCATATTTGCATAGTATGAATTTTGTATGGATATACCTGCATGTCCTAAGTTTGAAGAACTCTGGGGTGCCGAAGCTAAGGTAATTTCCAATTTGATTTAGTTGGCTTACAGAAGAAATATTTCGCCACCTGGCAGGTTGCAAAGGATATCCCAGATAAACCACCGTCAGAAAAAGACCCTATCATAAACAAGGAGGCTGAGAGCGAACTCGAGGAGGTAAGGGAAAATTATTTCACGTTATCATTTTAAATGCCACTGTTGACCTTGACTTGCAAAAACAGTGTGTTCGGAGGAAATTAACCCTGAAACCCAGAAAGAATAACGTGCCTTGGCTATACTACAGTATTTTTCGTCTTTAGGACATTGTAAATATATTTCTTCTCGCTTTAAAGAAGGAACTTTTTAATTTTTTTAAACCTAACTAATTGGTTCTTTATACTCTTTCCTTGACAATCTTAATGAGAAAGTTTTGCCTGATGTTGTTCTGTACAAGCATTAACGGAAAGAAAAGTTTACGTGTCTTAAAAAGGAATTGTGAGTAATCTGACTTTTACACTTTTTGTGT